GAATTCTCGGGGTCTTTTCTTGCTCTGTGTCCTGGGTTTCCATGCAATGTTCCATTTTCTGGAGCTGATATGCCTTGGTCAGTGCCACCACAAGTCTGTGATGCAAGGTGAGAAGGAGGGACAGTGGTGGCCTTCTTCTTCCTGAAAGTGAGTTCTTCACAAGACACTGCAGTGGGAGCTAGGCTTCTGAAGGGATCCCCCTTGCCCTACCCACAGAAAAGCTGGGGAAAATCTATGATTCGTGTGGCTGGGGCCTTCCTCAGGGGCCCTGGGCTGTGCTGGTCCACTCCTGTGTGTGCCCACAGTGCGGATGCATTCTGTACCTGGCCTTGGGGTGCTGATGTGGGAAATACCTGTGGCTGACTTCAAGTTTGGGGTTCATCTTCCTATTAAATCTTTCAGTGGGTTGAACCTGGGTACCTCGCTTCTATCAGAAGCATTGGTCTTTATTGTCCTGGCCTGAAGTGTTCTCTTCTCGTCCCCTGAGACACTCAGTGTTCTTAGACACCTGCCTGTATTTCCTCCACTTTTTTCCCCCCTCTTGCCCCGTTTGCTTGTACAACAGCATATTATTTTTGTACCTTGGCACAAAGAGTGCCTCAAGACCATCCCTGGGTATGTCATTAGGAGACATGAGGATCTGTGCCGTAGGAGGTAGAGAATGCAAAAGTGGATTTCACACCAAATATCTGGTGACTCATGTGAATATTCTTTGGGAAATACCTAAATACCTCTTTGTTGTTGTTTGCTTTTATTTTAACTGCTGAGGCTAGAACCCAGAGACTTGGGCCTGCTAGGCAAGCACTCTACAACTATATTCCCTACATCGTCCTGTTTTGTTTTTATAGTAAGGTGTATTTTTCCATATAGAGCTGGAAAATTCATAATTGATTTTTTTAATTTTCCAAAAGCAAGGTTAATAACTACAATGACAATTTATGTGATATTTTAGCATCTTTAATAGTCTCCAAACTTTTATTATAAATCATAATTTGAATTGTTCTAAAAGTACATTACAAATGCCTTTTATGTCTGCCTTGTGTTTTTCTCTTCCTCATTTTGTTCTAAAATGACCTAGGGTGTCTTATGTAAAATACATATAAAATTGTCTATTTTAGTGGAGAACTGAAGCAAAGAAAAAAAATATATATATAGGTTTTTTTGATCTCCCAAGTCAGTATCCATTCCGGCGTGTGCTGCTGGCCCAAGAGACTGCAGGGCTTGGCTTCAGGAATGACCCCAGGTGTCTGTGACAGTCACAGAGGGCCCACAGCTGACAAGATGTAGCGTGTCCTCCAGGAGGGTAAGGGCCCTGCCCCTCCTAGAAACAGTGATGAGAAGCACCCAGCCCCACGCCTGCCTGTCTGCATTCAGGGGAGCTGGCACAGTACCCTGTGAGCCTGAGGTTGGGAAGTTTCTCTTTTCAGGATGCTGAGAGGATGTGAACGCTGGCACCTCTGGGACTGCAGGGCGTGTTTCTGCAGCATGGGGAATTTTTTTTTTTTGCCATTTATTTATTTATTTAATTGAGAAGTAAATATCAATGAGACAGTTTCAAAACTCATTAATAGGACAGTTTCAATAATTAATACATTGTACATTGTTATCTTCTTAGTGGTTATCCATAGTATAAGAAGCAGACAGGATATCCTGTCCAAACACTATTACTACAAATCTTCCTTCTCATTAAATTAAGTGAAAGTAGCTGTATATCTATCCTAACTATTCTGCATATACAGATACAAAATGGTCCTTCCTCTGTATCCCCTTTTTTTGTTTAGTCCTGTCAGAGATGGGTATTCCATTGGCATCTAAATACTATAGGTGCATAAATTCAGCAAAACAATCCAACACAGTCCAGCGGTCCACAATAGTAGTGGATTATCCGCAGAAGCCATCTCCCTGGTCCCCACGCTGCCTTTTAGAGGCAACTACTTTGCTTTTGAAACCTGAATCTGGATTCTTGGTGAAGCCAATGCCGGCTTGACTCTCAGGATTTTCTCAGAAGGAAAAATTAGACTTAGCTGCCCAGTCCAATAAATTGTGCGATGTGCACAGTTTCTTCCCAGAGAAAGGGCATCAATGGGAATAACAACTACGATTCAGGCTTTTACTAATGGAATTCATCAAGCGTACCAAACTGTGCTATGCGTGCCCCTCCACATGTACCCAGCTACCCTACACAAGTTAGACTAGGAAAAAACCTCTCTGCTAGCACACGTTAAAACAGCCTGTTAACCACGAGATCAGCTCATACTTTGGAAAACTGATACTCTCAGCCTGGGGAATTAAAGACACAATGTATGTGGTTTTCTCTGTATCTGGAAAGGAATGGCCATGGCTTGTGGTGGCCAGGAGACGCATTGGTGACAGCAAGCAGAGCGGGCAGCGGGGCAAGGCTCTTCCCACTCTCGGGGTCCTGCTTCTGTCCTCTACCCCAGTTGGACACCTACATGAGGAGAGAACACCGGTCCATGGTCTCATGTCTTTAAGTCTGGGGTTTTGTGGAAGGGCGGTCACTAGAGTCTAGGGAGGGGCGAGGGACGGAGAAAGGTCAGATGGCAGATGCCAAGATACAGATGGACGAGAAAAATGAGTCCCAGCACTCTACGGTGACTGTGGTCTGCGGCACTTTATAAAGTGACTAGAAGAATCTGAAGGTTCCCAGCACGGAAACAATATGCAACGAGGAGGTGGGAATGCTTTGTGTTGATTTAATGACTTGCGCCATATCCGTACGGCTTATTGTACGGTGTCCCACTAATGTACAATGAGTAGGTGTCAGTGGAAAGGAAACCCTACATCCAAAAGTTGCAGAAAAACTGAAAAGCAAAGCGATGATGCTGACCCCCAGTTCCGGGTTTCTGACATTTTGTTTTGTGGTGAGATCCCGGCTGTACCAAGAAGGATGTTGCCAAGCTGGTGTCCACTTTGTGCTGTCCCTTTTCCTCATTTTCCTTTGTGCATTCGCTCAGCCTTCACTTCCCACCAGCACTGCTGCTGGGGCAGCGAAATGGTCCTGGAGAAAAGTCAGGGCACTGCCCACGGTTTTACCTGCTACTTCATACTCTAGGCCAAAGTCAGCAGCCAGCGTTTTACATTTACGATACCCTGTCTGTTTTTGAAGGGTCACGGTCTTGCTATATTAATCAGTCTGTCTCCAAACTCTTGGGGTCAGGTGGTCCTCCTGCCTCAGCCTGCTGGGTAGCTGGGCTAGCAGCATGGGCTACCGCACCCAGCTTGTGACACTGTCTTACAGTAGCTCTCCAAGGTCCGTTAGGTAGACAGGAAGTGGGTCTTATGAGAGCTACTTGGTCGACTTAAAAGATTGCAGTGTGGGGCTTTGGTGTCTCACAGGCCTGCTCCTCTGGGCTGGGCACGCTGGGTATTGAACTTGGTGTGCACTCTGGTGTGTGTTCAAGCCTGCTGCCTCCTGGGCAGTATTACTAAAAAACCGTCAGGGCACACTGGGAGTCTGGAGATCCATGACAGGGGTACTGAGTATTTCACATGAGTACTGGCAGTAGTACTGTACATAAGCACTTCGTGGGAATATCTTCAGGTAAGAGTAAGAGTTGCTGATGTGCAGGGTTGAGCTCTGAGAAGGGATGTGCCTTTTGTTTGGCAGGAAGGGGAGGGTTGGAGAGAGGTTAGCTAGCAGATGCCAAGATACAGATTGACAAAAAAGGAGTTAGCTGGTCCCATGGGGTGGTGGTGTCTCTATCTTGACTTCTTGTCTGTCAAAGTCAAGTTCATGTCTCAGATTATTCTGTAGTCTATGAACTGTTTTACTGTGTGTACAGTGAAGCGGAGTTTTATCCACATAGGCAGCCACTGGAATGGAAAGAATGACTCCCAGTTAAAGAGCTTCTTCCTTTTCACAGTTAGATTCTGAGAGTAAGTTGCACACATCGCCACCTGTCCTGTAGCTGAGAGGTATTTCTGGCTGGAGATATAGCTCAGCGGCACAAGTGCTTGCCTGGCAAGCTCAGGGTCCTGAGTTCAATTCCTGGTGCCAAACAAAAGATGTTTCTTGAGAGATATTTCCAAGCACAAAGACAGGCCAGTCTTTACTCAGTGGCTTGGAACAGTCAGAGGTGGGCTTTGCGTTTTTCTTTTCTAAGTGGAGGCCACACCCAGGGGCATTCCATCACAGAACTACAGTGTCAGTGCTTTTGAATTGTTATCTAGAGACCATGTCATCAAGGTGCCCAGGCTGGCTCCAAGTGCAATCCTCCTGCTGCACCCACCTGCGGAGCTGGGACCGCATATGGCCCCACAAAGGCCCCTGCTTAGACTTGGGCTCTTTAAGTGATGACAGCAGCTGTTTGTCGAAGTGAGCTCTTACAGGGAGACAGTTTATATCTGAAAAATCAACAAAGGATTTCCATACGTTTGAGGTGAACTTGCATTGTAGGTTGGGTATAGATGATTTTTTAAGTTGTGGTTTTATTTATTTTTCTTACTTTGTATTTAAATTTTCAAAAACTTTTTTTCCAACAATTGTTTTAAGGCCACTCTTAAAATGCAGTTCTTTTCTGCACCAGAGCCTAGAAATAAAGGACAAGGGCCAGGGCTCCTGACCTGTGACTCTGAGCACGGCCTCCCAGCATGTGTCCAGGCTTCCGTCATCAGCAGCGGTTGCACCATCCAGCGCTGCATCCCCTTTCTGTCCCCTTCACCGGAGAAGCTCTCAGATCCCATTCCTGGGGTGCAGGCTTCCTGTTCCCCTGCTCACAGGGTGGGGCTCTTCCTGTCCTTCTGAGGGACAGCTGTCATTTCAGTCATGTTCTGCTCCCTCTCTCCTTGGGTTGATGCCCAGGTTCCCCAGCTTTTTCCTTTCTGCTGCCCTGGCCAGTGGACATGGACTCACCCCTGTGACCATGGAGGTCCACGTCACCGAGACCACAGGGGGCCTGTGCTAGGGGAGCCTCCGTGGAGGGATTTTGTGCTGTTCCATGTTGGCCAAAAACTACACACATGTCTCCCTTGTCTTCCAGAGAAGAAGACGCCCAGAAAGGCCAGGCCATCCCGGGTGTGGCGGGAGCGGAGGAATGCCATCCGGCTTACCAGCGAGCACACAGTGGAGACCCTGGTGGTGGCGGACGCCAACATGGTACAGTACCATGGGGCGGAGGCTGCACAGAGGTTCATCCTCACTGTCATGAACATGGTAAGTGTGGGCCCTGCGTCCTCCTGTAGGGATGCTCTGGAAGCAGGGGCCATGTCCCCCTGCCAGGCATGGCAGCCGCTGGCTAGGAGATGGAGCATGGCATTACATACCCAGGTGGCTAAGTCCAAAGTGGCCTGGCAATGGGGACCCACACATTCAATGCCAGAACGCTTCAGAGGACCTTTGCCGTACATGTGCCTCGTGCTCAGGGGTGGGCAGAGCTGAGGTAGTCCCAGGTCTGGCACGAAGCAGTCAATAGTCTAGCAGGAGGAACCAGAATCCAGCTTTATCGGAAAAGTGTTTCTTATGTACCTGAGAACTTGTAGGATGCTGCAAAATTTAGCAGCTTGGAACTAAGGAAGGAACAGTGAAGCCTGTGTCTCCATTCTGTTGATGGAGATAGGGGGAAGACTCCTTTACACACGTCGGTGTGGGAAGGCTGCCACCTTAAAGATGACCCACTCAAGGCCCCCACACCCCACCCGTCGATTCCCCTGCCCAGTAAATGTTTATGAAGACCTTCAGAAACCTTTGGCATTGCATTAGGTGTCAGAGTATAAGTGCAAAAATGACTTGCTCCTTCCCTCGGGAGGCAGTAGTATTCCAGATGAACAAAGCACCATGTTTCCATAGAAACACGTGGAGGGACCACTGAAGTCCAGGAAAGGGGCTGGCTGGTGATCATCTGGCAATGTGGAGGTGTCGGGAAAGAGCAGGCCTTGTTTAGAGAGGGAGTGAGTGCTGGGTAGATTGGGGATGTGGGTGGGAGGGCACGTAGTGGGGGCAGCAAGTATGAGGCCCAGGAGTTTAGCAGCTCCATTAGGGACCGGTAAGTGGCATGAGAGAGGGCACGGAATGTAGGATCCTTCAGGGTGTGGATAGGTGTGTGGATGGGGTAGGGGGGTGAATAAGGCATCCTGAGGGGTGCGGCTTATTCCAAGGACCAGCAGGCCCTCTCAGAGGGAGAGGAATGATGTATCTAGATCCACGATTGGATACCTCAGTTGCTGTGTGCAGGGTGATTGGAGCGGGAAGCAGTGAGTACAGCTGTTGGGAACGGTGCCTGCGTGGAGGAGGTTCTGGGCACAAGTGGGCATGGGCAACTGGCACGACAGGGCCTTAGAATGCAGGGGAAGAGGCAGAAGTGGGGACTCAAAGCTGAGAGCCTGGGTGGATGATGGAGGCACTGACGAGAGAAGGAGGCGTGGGTGTGGTCCTGGGGGAAGATTTCCACCACAGCAAGCTGAATTCTAGGTGGGTGACCAGGATGGCAGACATGTGGCTGCAAAGAGAACCTGGGGGATTTGGGGCTTGGAGCTGGTGGTGCACACTGTGGACATGGGGAGCACTTCCCAAGGGAGTATCTGGATAAGCAGAGAAGGTGGTCGAAGCCAGCCTGCGAGCATCAGCCCAGGGGCTGTGGGCAGAGGGGCATGGGGGAGGTGGTCCCTAGGAAGGCGTTGAAGGTGCAGGAAAGGGCCAGTTAGCAGTGTCAGCTGTTGGGCTGGTCAGCTCCCTGGTAGAGCAGTCTTGAGGGTGCATAGTTGAGGGGAAAAAAGGGGAATTAGAGATGAAGTAGTAGAAAGAGCAGGCACAGGTCTAGGTACAAGGGGAGGGACAAGAATCTCAGCATGGAGCTGGGTCTGGGAGGACTTTACAGAGGGAAGGAGGACCAGGGGCCATGAGTGCGGCAGCCTGCTCTTCCCTATAAGTCGGGGTTGAGCTCCTGCCGCACCAGTATGTGCCTGGCAGTGAGTGACAGGTCCCACTGGCTGTGATGGCAGTGAGTCGAGGGGCAAGGTTTATTGGCCCCAGTGGCAGGGGGAGCAGGTGGACCTGTGTGTGTGCAGGCTGTGGCAGCAGTGGGCGTGTTGTGGGCTCTCAGCCCTAGGATCTTCAGGGTCTTCGGGCCAAGCGTAACCAAACTCCCAGACCTTGGGGAGATGGGAGCCCAAGCTGACCCAGGTTGCAGACCTCCCTGGGTATCTGAGGGGCAGCTCTGGGTGCTGGGAGCTGAGTGCCAGGAGAGGAGTAGGCTGTGACCTGAAGCATTGGGGAAGGGCGTCAGGCGCCCTTGGGCCATCATGTGGGAGGAAGGGAGAAGATAAGAGTCCTGTGGGTAGACAAAGCCTGCAGGTGGCTCTTTGCCCATGTGTGGGTGTGGCTGAGAGGGCCCTCTGGGAGTGCATCTTCAGTGGGGGTACATATACACTTCTGGATGAACCCTGGATATTCCTTTCCTTCTGGAATCCCAGCTCTGGTATGCAGCTGTGGCTGTGTGGCCGGAAGGCCAGGTGGTGCACAATAGGCTGCACAAAGTACCCTTGGACTGGGATCCCACAGCTTGTTTCCCAAGAACCAAGAGGTTTGGGGACATTATCAGGGTCACACAGCAGGTCACTGGCAGGATTATGAGCCTCGGGCCAAGCCTTTCCCCTGCTGGCCACAGCAAATCAATTTCTCTGTCCCCACGCCTGGTTGAACGCATGTCTTGGTCCTCTGTTCCACCTTGTCAGGCTGGCTTCTCGAACTGTGGGAAGCTCCGTCTACCTCGACCACTTCCTCAGACTGGGTGTGCTCTAAAGCAGAAGGTATTTTAGTGATGCTTTGTGAGCATGTTGAGCTGCATGCATGTGTCCCCAGGTCCCCACCCACACATAGGCCCCTCTCCAAAGCCAGCTGGTGACAGGCTCTGGGTCATTCTGCTAGAGGCTTCTTTCAGGGCAGCGGCAACTCTGGGAGTTTCATCAAAATGTTTTTCTTTCTAATATTTTCTTCTTTTTTGGTGGCAAAATATACACACTGCAAAGTTACCATCAAGGCCATTTTAAGTGTTTAATTCTGGATATGTTCATGCCGTCATAAGCCACCAAGATCCACCTCCAGAATATCTCCGTCTTGCAAACGTGTCCCTGTGGAACAGTCCCTGCTTCTCTTTCTGTCTCTGAGTTTGCCTACTCCACGTGCCTCCTTATAAGGGAACTCGGACAGTCTTTGTCTTTCTGTGACTGACATAATGCCACAAGGCATGAAGTCCTCTGGGCTCATGTGCTAGGGCACGTGTTGGGATCTCCCTCCTTTTGTGGCTGATAATGTTCCTTGCATGCACGTGTGTCATATGGTTGTCTACTTATCCATTGGTTCCGGCTTAGATTGTTTCTACCTTTGGCTGGTGGCTTCTGACAGCTTGCTTACATTTTTATCAAAATTCATGTGCTGGACATGAATTCTGAAAAGTCATTTGTTAATGGCATTTGGAAGGTGGGGAGATAATTAGAACTAGATAAAGTCGAGAGGATGGGCAGTCAGGTTTTATTTTTTAATTTATATATTTGATACAGGATCTCACTACACAGCTCAGACTTGTATTGATCCTCCTGCCTCAGCCTCCCCAGCACTAGGATTAAAGGCATGGGCCACCATGCCCAGTTGGTACCACGTGCAACTGGGGCTCTGGGACAAGCACAGCATGCAGTTCCAAGGATTGAACCTAGGTCCTTGCACTTGCCAGGCAGGCACTTAGACCGCTGAGCTATCTCCCTGGCACAGTCCGGTTTCTATAAGAAAAGTAGAGATCGGAGCTTGCGGGCTCCTCTGTTGCACTGTATGATACCCGCTGCAATGTAAGGGTGCAGCCCTCACCAGAAGCCAAGCAGGGGCCGGCACCCTGTTCTGAGACTCCCACACCTCCGAACACATGAACTAAATAAACCTCAGATTTGTGACGCACGACGTGGGATTCAGGGATAGCAACGGAAAATGGGCTGAGACAGCGCCTCTGAGTAACGCTGCTGTGAACGTGGGGGCGAGTATCTGTGTGCACCCCAGTCTGCCGTTCTTTTGGGTACATACCCTGCAGAGGCGTTGATTTTGCTCACGTCCCATGTCACCTCACCCTGTAGGAATGGCTTCGGAGCCCTTTGTTGGCACACACCCAGGTCTCTGGAGGCTGGGTAATGGCGGGCTACAGTGCTCGGGTCTGCCCGCCGGAAGCCGGCGAGGGTGGCTCTGCACCAGACTCTTTCATCGGCAGAGATTGCCGTCTCCTTTATTCATTTTTTAATTACCCTGGGTACAAGTGCAAAGCAGAAATGTTCATTATATCCGCTGAGGCAAAGCTTCTGCCTTGGTAGTTGCTTTCACACAGTGTCATCTGGGCAGGGACGGGGAGGGGGATGGGCATGGTATGTGGGAGCAGTCCCCACGGCCCAGCCCACACGGCTGCAGGACCGAAGGACAGGAGGGGCAGGAGCTCTGTTCCTTGCTTTTAGTCTGACACCCTTCCCTCCTCCTCAGCTGCTTACATGGATCCATCCGAGCATCACAAGTCCCCTGTGGAGGGCAGGTCTGGGCTCTGCCATGTCAAATCTGTATCAGAAATTTTCAAAGGTCTCCTCCTCCTCTCAACAAGGGTGATCTTGCTATGTGACAGCACAGGGTGAGGACACCTAGCCCTTTAGCTGTCTGTACTCTGGATTCTTGAGGTGACCAAGGCTAATGGCAAATGAAAGTGGAGCCTGGGGACCCATCCTTGTGGCAGGCATCGCTCCATGAGGCTCTGCCCTGCCCTGCTGTGGAGGGTTGCTGTTCAGTGCATTGACAGACCAGTAGCCTTCAGATGTGACACCTTGCTTTGGACAAGACCAGCCTCTGCCTCTGCCAGCGTCTCCCCCCTTCTATCCTTCTATCACAGTGTAGGAAATCTGGAGATTTCAGTCTTGCCTCTGGCTGTTCTAGAAAAGAGACTCTGTAAAAAGAAAAGAGACTCTGTGCTGAAGTGCGGTAACTCTTAAGCCAGGAGGAAGGGAAGGGATTGCGGTTGGCCAGGGGCCCTCATTAGGTACCACTCAGCTGCTGTGAGCCCTCTGCTCCTCCCGGGAGTGTTTGTGGAGCTGCAGGCCCAAAGTGACTTTGTCCTGCTGGATATGCACGGAAACCTGCTGGAGTCGGGGGCCTCCTTCATTCCAATACATTTCTCTCCCGGCTGTGGGAAATGGGGT